TGCCTCCTGACCTTGACCTCAGGCTGCCTCCTGACCTTGACTTCAGACTGCCTCCTGACGACCTCAGACTACCTCCTGACCTTGACCTCAGGCTGCCTCCTGACGTTGACCTCAGACTACCTCCTGACCTTGACCTCAGCTGCCTCCTGACCTTGACTTCAGACTGCCTCCTGACGTTGACCTCAGACTACCTCCTGACCTTGGCCTCAGGCTGCCTCCTGACCTTGACTTCAGACTGCCTCCTGACCTTGACCTCACACTGCCTCCTGACTTTCCCAGCCTCAAGACAGGACCTGGAATGTCAAAAAAAAACACACTTCACTAAAGGAATGTTCAAGGGAATGCATGTAACCGAAGAGACCGCTGCAGGCTGAGCTGTGCGCATTCCATAGTCCTGCTGACGGAAGACAAGCGGCCACTGGAAGCTGACTTGACGTTTCCCAGATATTAAAACACCACACGAGGAAAGAGAGAACACGCCTCAGGAGCTGCCGACACACCTCACAGCTAAAGGCCAGCACATTAAACATTTGGGACTGTAAAGAAAAGCCCAGATTCATTCATTCTTAATGAGGCATTTTTTTCAAACCCTTGGCAACATAATACTTTACAACTTAGGAAATTCCGCCCCATTCATTTCTTCTTATTGCCAACCACCTCTGGAGCCAGCGAGGGCAGGCGTTATAACAATGAACTCCCCGTGGCCGGCGGGGGCTGCGGCTCAGGGAGGCCGGACCGAGCAAACGCCGACCGAGGGCCACGCGTCCCGCCAGGTCTCCTGCCCAAAGCACCGGGCCCCTGAGCTTTCCTCTGCGATGTGTGCGCTCCCGGCACCCAAAGGCGTGGCGGGGGCCTGAGTGACAGACACGCACACGGGAAGGGCATCACATGGAAAAGAAGGAAAACACACCTGGCGGGCGATGAGGGACAGGTGGGGAGGTAGTTAACAAAGACTCTGACTTTCAGTCTAAGAAAGCTGTCTGTGAACTGCTAATTTCAAGCAAAAAAAAAAAAAAAAGCACCGTCAGCTCTTTGAAGCAGGTGCTGGGCTCCCGCCTGGCACTGAGTCCACGGAAAGCCAGGCCTGCCGCCACACACACACACACACACACACACACACACACCCGGCGCAGAGCAATGTAAGAACGCCGGGGATGCCCCTGGTCTCTAAAGACCCCTCCCAAAACACGGTCCCTGCAGACAAACCGCACGAGCAAAGCACTTTTTAAAGAAAAGAAGAGAAGACAAAAACCCACTAATTTAAGTGGAAATTGTACCTCAGTGGCATCACTATTTGACCAAACAGCTATAATCTATTTTCAGTCCCTGTAATCACCCAAATAAGAACAGCAGACAGGCATGTGGCTTTAAGAAAATCAGGCCCTGCCCTGGCCAGTTTTACTAGCAATTGTCTGCCCTCGGACCAAAGGGTCACGGGTTCAATTCCTGGTCAAGGGCATGTACCTCAGTTACCCTGGTCAGGGCACGTGGGAGACAACCAATCGATGAGCCTTTCTCACATCGATGTTTCTGTCTCCTTCCTCTCTCTCTCCTCCTCCCCTCCCTCCCACTCTCTCTGAAAATCTACGGGGGAAAATGTCCTTGGGTGAGGACTAACAACAAATCGATCCCTACCGGCCCCTTGTGGCTCAGTTTGTGGCTCAGTGGTGAGCGTGGATCTACCGTATGAATCAGGAAGTCACGGTTTGATTCCAGGTCAGGGCACTTGCCCAGGTTGCAGGCTCGATCCCCAGCAGGGGTCGAGTAAGAGGCAGCCCATCCATGATTCTCTCTCATCATTGATGTTTCTATCTCTCCCTCCCTCTCCCTTCCTCTCTGAAATCAATATATATATGTTTAAATACATTTTGTTGATTTTTTAGAGAGAGGAAGGGAGACGGAGGGAGAGTTAGAAACATCGATGAGAGAGAATCATCGATCAGCTGCCTCTTGCACACCCCCTACTGGGGATGTGCCCGCAACCAAGGTACATGCCCTTGACCGGAATCGAACCCGGGACCTTTCAGTCCGCAGGCCGATGCTCTATCCACTGAGCCAAGCTGGTTTCAGCAATAAAAATATATTTTAAAAAAGAAAAAGAAAATACAGCCCACCAAATTCTCATCTTACCAAACAGATACATTGGAAGGATTAATTACTAGATTCCTTAGAATTGGAGCTTTCTAAGTCCCTTACCATATGACACATTTTTTTTGCATGTAATCATTTTAAACTGTTTAAACCATTACATAAAGCCATGTACACATACGCAGGGCTCTTCCAAATCCCATTTATTTCAGGCTCCCCGAATTAAGTTCCGTCAGAGACAGGACACACAGACGCTACCGCTGGCGGACTTCACACAACACACAAAGCCCGACGGAAGGCTCCTGGCAGAGCCCTGCCCCGGCTACTCCGTTAGGAACCCACCCAACCAGCTGCCAGAGGACAGGCGATGCAAGCAAAATGGGATGATGAAGAATATGCAAGACAATATATTTTTAAAAACTGCTTAAGCTTCCACCGAAGACCCCGGTCCTCCCCTCGGAGATAGCAAACTCCACGTTAGAAGCCCCGTTTCCAAAGCCCTCCGCTGCAGGCCACGGCCACGGGAACTTGCGTCTCCGCACGTGGTTGGAAGGGGTGGAGGTCTGGGCTCAGAGGCTCTCCCCCGTTTCAGACCCTCCGCGGGGAGGAAACCGAAAGGCAGGAAGAGCAGAGTGACTTCCTTCCCGGCCAGAATCAGACCCAATAAACTCTAACCAAGTACTCGACACTGCGCAACCAGCATAGGAAGGGACAGCCAATACGGGAGTGCGGACCTTCGGACCACGGGCGCTGCGGAGGGCACACTAACCACTGGTGCGCGGTGGAGAGATTAGCCCTCACCGCCGACACAGCACCACCGGCAGCGCGGCCCCCAGCCTCTGTCCCAGAGGCCGAGGCGCCCCGAGGGCCTTTCTGGGGAGCGTCACAGAGAAGGTGCCACTGCACAGAGACCTCAGAAAGGAGGAAGCGGGCCGGGGCGGGCCGGCTGGCTCCATGGTTGCGCTTCACCCTAGTAACCAGGTCATGGTTCAGTTCTGGGTTGGGCACATGCCCGGGTTGCTGGCTTGATCCCTGGTAGGGGGACAGCGGGGGAGGGGGGGCGGAATTGGGGGGAAGGGGAGCAGCTGATTAATGATTCTCTCTCATCATGGATGTTTCTATCTTTCCCTCTCCCTTCCTCTCTGAAATCAGTAAGATATATTGGGGGGGGGGGGGGGGAGTAAGCGGAGCTGGAGAGTCTGCAGCTGGAGCGGAGGGAGGGGGGGCAGGGTCAGGGCGCAGATGGCAGGCATGAAGGGCACACTGCCAGCAGAGGCTGTGTCATTCCCATCCCCATTCCCGTTATTCATACATCACATTCACAGCGCGTTTCCGTTTGGACTGGGGACTTGGCGCAGCTCCCGTCTGGGGCCGGGGCACTCCTAAACGGGAAGCCTGCTCTGCCCGGCCTCCCCGGGAAGGCATGGCCGGCCCTGACACGGCGCCCAGCCTGAGGGAAGGGTACACGAGCGATTCGCCGGGTGTAAGCGGCGGAGGGAGGCCGAGCCTGCGGGCGGCCAGGCCTGACAGCAGGCGGAGAGCCCAGTTTCCCCACCCGCCACCGCGCCCTCCATCCCTTCGGAAACCTGACCTCCCGCTGGAACCGCCTTGGCCTCGTTCCGTGGGTGTGGATCTGCCTCCCTTCCAGCCCGCCAAACGCTGGGCGGGTTTCTGGCTCCCCAGTGCTCAGAGCTGCAAAGTTAAATCTGCTTTTCCAGGTTTTCTCCCCCCCAGTCCTAACGGAAGAAGCCAGAGCTCGGGGCAGAGGGCCGGCTCCCTCCGATCTCCAAGCGGAGCAGGAAACTCCCGGCCAGAGGAGCCAGCGGGCGCGGAGACAGCCCCGCACCCAGGACCAGGGCCTCTGCTCCTCCGGCAAATAAGACAATAAGGCCGGAAGGGCACCGGGACCCTCACAAGGCCTGTCAACACAGAGCGCCACACACACGCGTAGCGGGACAGGCTGCGTGGGAAGGGGACGGGACAGAGCCCCCCCACTTGCAGGATGGCTAGGGCACCCCAGGCGGGTCCAAGCAAAACCACCGTTGGTGGCACCCAAACAGTGTGAGCCAGTCGAGGGGACAAGAAGGAGCCCCACTCTGAGGGTGGCCAGGACCCCACGATGGAGGTCCACGCAGCCACCCTGGATGAGAGGAGTGAGCCAGTCCCGGGGGTGGGGGGTCCATTCACAGGATGTCCCGGACCCACGCGGAGGGCCCCCGAGGAGCTGCCTTCGCGGACACAGAGCCCAGGGAAGCGGCCACCTTGGGGAGCCAGTCCGGATGGTCAGCACCCTGCTTTTCCGGGGACCAGACCCCTGCGCCCCTGGGTGCCACCCCGAGGCCCAGACAACGCCAGGCGCCCGCCCCGCGGCGGCTCAGGCGACCCCGCGGCGCCCCGCCCGGATCGGCCACACCAGGCCCGGGACCCCGTCCCCTCGGAACCCCCGTCCCCCGGAACCCTGTCCCCCTGAACCCCTGTCCTCCCCAAACCCTCGTCCCCCCGGAACCCCCGATCCCCTCAGAACCCCCGATCCCCCGACCCCCCCCCCGGCACCCCTTTCTCCCCGAACCCCCGTTTCCCCAAACCCCCGTCCCCTCGGAACCCCCGATCCCCCGGAACCCCTTTCTCCTCGAACCCCCGTTTCCCCGAACCCCGGTCCCCTCGGAACCCCCGATCCCCCGGAACCCATATCCCCCCGGGAACCCTGCCGCCTGGGACACCCCCCCCCCCCCGTCCCGTGACCCCCGCCCCCCCGAGCCGGGAACCCGGCCGCCTGGGACCCCAGCCGGCCTGGAATCCCCTTCCGGCCCCGAGTCCCCGCTGGGTCCCTGGACACCCCCCCACGGCCGTGCCACCTCGCCCGCCGGCGAACCCCACTCTCCAGGGACCCGCCCCGCCGCCCGCAGCCTCACCTCAGGCCGCCGCCTCGGCAGCGCTCGCTCCTCGCCGCCGGCGCCCGGGCCCCGCGGAACGGAACCGGCGGCCGGCACAGCCGCGGCCGCCGCAACAATGGAGGCCCGGGGCGGGGCGCCCGCCGTCTCAGCTCGCGCGGCCGGGCTCGGGGTCCGCGGGGCGGCCGCCGGCGCGAGGCAGCCGCGGGGCTCTGGCACCGCGCACGCGCACGCGCCCCGCCCGCGCCCCCGGCCCCGCCCCCCGGCGGCGCCCGGCGCCCAGGCCCCGCCCCCCGGCCAATGGGGAGGGAGAGGAGCTGAGGGGGCGGGGCCGGGAGAGACAAAGGAAGGTGGGGTGGGGCGGGGCTGCGGGGCGGGGCTGCGGGGCGGGGCTGCGGGGGCGGGGCCGCGGGGGCGGGGCCGGTCCCTCGGGGAGGCCGGACCTCGCAGCTGCCCCATCCGCGGCCCAATCCGGCGAGGGGAGGCCCCCCTTACTGTCCACTGGGAATCTGCTCAGCTGGCCTTTGCTCATCCCAAACCCAGAACTCAAACTTGAAGGCTTGGCCTGCTGTGCATTAAGGAAAACTGAGGCCCAAGGAGGGAGACCATTTGCTGCCCCAAGTCCCAAAGTCCCATTCGCTCGTTCACCTTTTATTCATTCAACAAACATTGCAGCAGGAGTGGAAGGCAAAGGCTCCGGCCCTGGAGGAGCGCCTTCAAGCAGGACCCGGAGCTTGGGGTCGCTTTAACGCCTGGAAAGGGAGCCAGGAGCCCAGCTGCCACCCCTTCCTGCGTGGACCCTTTTGTGGTTCTGCTCTTCCTTCCAAAATGCCCTCCTTCCCTCGCCTGTGTGGACGAAAGGAGCCACCTGCTGACCTGACCAGCTCAGGGGAGGCCTGCGTGGCAGTCTTGCAAACTCAGAGACCTAAAATAACCACAAAAGATGGTTTGAAATTAAATATTTAATTATAAATATTATAATGGGTTATAGTGGGTAGTCATGTCCTAGGCAGATATTTTCACTGGTAAAGATCAACTTACATCTTCTTTACTGAGTCCGTTTGCCTTTTTCGCCTCTAAGATAGCATATCGTAAGATGTCTTGGGTAACTTGCAACTTCATTTTTACCCCGGACCCCTCAGGGCACAACAAATGGCACACAGACATTCCCTCATTGTTATTGTTATCAAGTTAATTGTGGACTGTTAAAGTATCCTGTATCCATCTCTGAAAGAAGCACATGCCCATCATTTCACCTTTCACCCTATCCCAGAGGTTTCCCTGCTTTGCTCTGTCCCACCTCCCTAATCCATCACCAATAAATTTCATGGAGCTCACCTACGTCCCTTTCCTTTGGTTGAAATGTATAAATACAGATGTAACCCGACATTCTTCGGAGCATCATTTCAATTCCTTGAGGTTCTGCTTCCCGGCATATGTCAACAGTTTGGCTCAAATAAATTTTACAAAAATTCTTTACAGGTTTCAATGTTGTTGTTGTTGTTGTTGTTGTTTTGTTGACACCTGTCACCCCATACTTCTGGACACCACCATCACCTTTAACTTCTGTCCTCATCCGTCGCAGTATCCGTCGAGGTAGGCCTCATGTGCCCCCCACTGGTGTTTCCCTGTTACCAGCAGCTCCCCCAGAGTCTCCAGGATCCCCCATCCCTGCCCACCTTCTGCGTGCTGGGGTGTTAGGGTGACCCATGGCTTGGCAGGATGCCCTCCTATTAACAGGGACGCACTTACTGGAAATCTCCCTCCCAGGTTTTAAATACACTACAGTCACGGCCAAGTCCTTATCCCTAGCCCCGACCTCTCCCGGCTGGATGCCCAGGAGGCATCTCACACCTGCCAGGGCCAGAGCACAGAGCTTCACTCACTCAGTGCCCTGACCTGCTGCCCCCTCCCCTCCCCGCTCATCAGGGCCCCTCCATCCACACAGGCTCGGGCTCCCTGTGGAACCGCCCCGAGTGCTCTCTCCCGGCCCCCTGCAGTCCTACCTTCCCAGGGCCTCGCCCACCCTGCCTGTCACAGCAGCCGCAGCTGCCTGAAGTGTGACCTCATGAGAGGACAAGCAGGGGTCTGCCTCGGAGTCAGTCACCGCTGTGCCAGAGAGGGCCAGGCGCCTGATCTGATTTGCCAACAGCTCCCGCAGGAAAAGAGCAGCTCCCTGCCTCTCAGGAGGGCTGCAGCTGGTGCGGGATGTGCTCCGAGGTCAGGAAAGCGCGTCTCGGCACATTCCAGCGGAGTCTCTGCTCGGAGAGCAGCAGGCATCACTTAGCATTTCAGCAGCGTCTCCTCACCTGGAGCCGTGGCTGGGGTCAGCTCCACTTCCAAGCTCAGTCGGGTCGATGCCAGACCTCACTTCCGGGGGTGTGGGCCGGAGGCTGTCCTCGGGTGCTACAGAGCCCCCCTCCCCCCAACCAGGGGGGTCCTCTGCGTGGAGGTGAGGGCTTCACAGGACGTAAGGAGAAGCCCTCTGTCTAGTGTGCAGGGATGAATTCTTAGTAATGGAACCTGACCGTGGGAGCGACAGCCCATGGCCTCTGCCACCCGATTGGCTGGAAGCTGTCCCAGGCTCCGCGGGCACTCAGGCAGCTGGGGCGGGGGTGGGGGGTGGGGGTGGGGGATAAAATGTGCCCAAGGCCAACTCCCAGAAACTCCCACAACGGGAAGCCGTGTTCACGCGAGGGGGACAGATCAGGGGTCGGTGATCTGAGTGGGACCAGCTCTTCCTGTGGGAACTCTGACCTCCTTTGATGCTGGGAAGGGGAAGGGGGTGGTGTAGTGCCCGACACCCTTCCCCGACTCTCCCAGGGACCTTTATTTAGAAAAAAATAAATTACAAGCTGAGTGCAAGTTTCTAAGAAGCAGCGTGGCACTTTCACAGGTTAGAACACAGCGCCCTTTATTTCCCAGGCCCGCGGCCGCCCCACCGCAGGGAGGAGGAGACGGGGGTTTCCAGCTCGGGCTCGACCGCTGAGCGGACGGAAGCGCGTTCGGTGCCGGAGTTTCCCCTCCCCTGGCCCGGCCGGGCTGGCGCGGGGCCGGCGTGTACGGGTCGGGAGGAAGCTGAGCGAGGCTGACTCACGGGCGGGACGGCCGGGACACACGGGGATGCGGCTCTCGAGGCACTTCACAAACACGGTGGCCCGGGCCGGGCCCCCCCACCCCCGTGACGGCCACATCTCTCAGCGGGACCGCAGGCCTCTGCCCCGGCCCTGCTGACCGCCAACGGGACTGCCCCGAGGGTCGTGTCCGTCTCAGGACCACCCACGAGGCATCCCTCCGGGGCCACGTGTGTGTGTTCTGCCGTGGGGAGGTGGGGCGCTGCTGGCCGTGTCACCAGAAAGCCACACGGGCTCAGGCCGAGTCCACGGAAGTCCTGATCCCGGGCCCTGGCCACGGGGAGGCGGGTCCACCCCAGATGTGGAGGGAAACAACGAGGAAGTCGCCGTGGACGTGGACTCACACGCATTACACACAGCATTGGGGGGGAGGGAGCAGCCTTTCGGGGGCCATGTGACAGGAGCGAAAGAAAGAGAAGCAAAGGAAAACATTCAGGAGTCCCTGTGCCAGGGACACGGAGCACGGAGACCACACAGCGCGGAGGGCGGGGCTGGGGCTGCAGACTACACTCTTCATACGTGTCCTCTCGGGCCCGCAGGCCGCGCTTCTTAGTAAAATAAAGCTCTGTGTTACTCTAGGATGTCCTGTGGGCGTCCGGGGGCTGGCGTGGGAGAGCTGAGCAGGGCACGCGGGCCTGGAGCAGGACCCTGGGCCACAGCCAGCGCCAACGCTCGTCACCCCACGCTTGGCACCGCCCGGGGGCCCCTGGATACAGGCCGCGAGCAGCGCCCTCCGGGGCCGGCGGACACTGAGGCCGGCGCCCCCGCCGGGGATGGTGTCCGGGCCTGTCCCTGACAAGCTCCTCGGATCCCCATCCTGGTCCCCTCGGTGGTCCCAGGGCCGGGGAGGCGGGCGTGCCGTCTCCATGCCCGCCCTCCCGGGGACAGCCGCTCTGCAGCGTCTCCTGGTGCCAGCACCGCGGGGGAGGGCGGTGCACAGCCCGGGCCAGGGCCTGGGCTACAGGCAGGAGGGTCTCAGGCGCCAGGCTGCGCTGTGGGACCTGCTCCCGCCCGCCCCGGTGCCTGCCCGCCCGCCCGCCCTCCCGCCTGTCCCGTGGGCACAGAGGAGCAGAGCCAGCGGCCGGGCGCGGGGCGGGGCGGGGCGGCGCCATCAGAACAGCAGGGCCTTCTTCTTGAGGTCGTTCCTCTTCCAGAGCGCCAGGCGGTCGAACTCCTCCACGCTCATGCCGAACACCGCCTGGAACTCCGCGGGCGACAGGTGTCTCTGCAGAGAGAGGAGCCCCAGGGGAGCGTGAGCGCTCAGCCCCGTGCCGCCGGGCTCACCTGGACCGCATGGGCCTCGGTCCCGGCCCCCGCCACCGTCAGCCTCCCTCTGCTGCAGCCCAGCGGAAAGAGGCTCAGCACGCAGCTCCCCCGGAGCCCGGGGCACCGCGCGGGGATGGGACTCCCTCCTGCCTGAAGAGCTGGGCCAGGCTCAGGGCGCTCAGTCCCCATGGTGCCAGCTGAGGGGGCAGGTTCATTGTGGACATTTCACAGGCAAGGAAGCTGAGGCGTGAAGCTGAGCAACGAGCCCGCAGGGCCCGGACCTGACTTTGAGTCCTCCCTGTCCCCCAGCCTCTGCTGCCTGAGTCACAAAGTCCCCCCTAATGGAATCTGGGCCCAGAGTTCTCAATGTGCGTGCACACACACACACACACACACATACAGACACACAGACACAGACAGTCACACACAGTCATACAGACACACACACAGTCACACACACACACATAGCCAGAGACACACACACACACAGTCACAGAGACACACAGCCAGAGACACACACACACACAGTCACAGACACACACACAGCCAGAGACACACACATATAGTCACAGACACATACACAGACACACACACCATCACAGACACACACACACACACACACACACACTGACATGCACACAGTCACAGAGACACAGGCACACACATACACACACGCACACACACGGACATGCACAGAGACACAGACAGGAATGCACACGGAGACACCCATCAGGCTGGTCCCGGTCTCTGCCCGGAGGGGCCGTGGGCTGCTGGTGGGAACTGAAGGAGCCGTGGGAAGACGGCCCCCGAGCTGCGGGCAGGGCCCGTGTGGGGCTTCCCGGTGGGGAGGCAGCCGCCGCCCACAGAGACGCAGCTGTCACTGCAGACAGCAGCACCGTGTCCGGGCCAGATCACGGTCCCCCGAGGACAGGGACAGTGGAGACAGGAGAGGGCGGAGAAAGGGACTGGCTCCCCCAGGCTCAGCAGGAACCCGCCGCTGTCCGCCCTGGGCGCCTCGGGGGCGGCTCCCACCCTGAACAAGGGCAAGGCCTCTGTCCTGGCGCCTGAGCCGCCATGGGAGGGCAGCTCTGGAGAGGCGGGTGCTCTCCTTCCCCGCCCGGTCTGGGCACCTGCTCAGGGGAGGGCAGGGTGAGCCAGGGCCAGGCCCCTCAGCGATCCTCGCCCTGCCGATGGGGGTGCTCACTGACCTGACCGACATGCCTCCATGGGGTCCCCCCTGCAGGGGCCCCTCCGCAGCTGGGAAGGCAGGGGGGGCCGCAGGGAGGTGGCCATGCAGGGGTCCCCGCTGAGCTTGCAGCCCTGCAGGCCGGTCACAGTGACCGGGTGCTGTGAGATCTGAGAACTGCGAGGCCCTGGGACCTGCCAGAACAGCCTCGTGGCCAAGGCCTGGGAGCCTGTGAGTGCGCGCGCCTCCCTGGCAGCCATGACAGCAGGGCCCGGCCCTCCAGGCTGAGATTAAGTCCCAGCCAGCAGGGCCCAGCCTGGCCCAGTCCCGGCTCCTCGTCTGTCAGGTCAGAGCTGGGCTGCGGCCTGCGCTGGGGAGGTCAGTGAGGAGGGAGCTGCTGGCCCGGACCTGCTCGCCCGGCTCCGGCCCTGCGGTCCGGTGTCCGCCCCACCGGCTCAGTGCCTGCTTCCGGTGAGAGGGGTGAGGGCCCTGCAGTGGCTGCTGGGAAACGGGGCTGAGATAAACTCGCTCGAGGCCACGAGGCAGCCATTCCCCGCTCCATCCAGGCTCTTGTCTCCGCCCCGTGTGCTCGCTGGAGCAGGCAGAACAGGGCGGGACACAGATGACCCCTGACCCCTAGCTCCCCAAGGCTCCCAGGTGGAGGGCGGCCCTACCCTCTCACCCCCAGGTGCCCACCGAGGCCAGGCACAGCCCGGCGCCTTCCTGAGCCGGCAGGAAGGAAGCCCAGGGCGTGGCGCCTTTGCAGAGGGCTGGTCAGCCTCCTTCTGGGACAGCCCGCTCCTGGTGCACCGGCCCCCAGCGCAGGGCCTGCGGGCTTTGCTGGGGAGTCTGCCTACAGGTCACCCTCCAGGGTAGTGGTCAGCAAACCGAGGCTCAGAAGCCACAATAGGCTCGGGAGCCGAGGTTTGCCACTCTGTGGACTAATGAGTTTGCAGACCAATGCCCTGCAAAGACCTCCAACTCCGGACCTCCCACCCTGGCTCAGCTCCTGAGCAGCTGGCTCTGTCCCCCGTGCAACTCACTCCACCCCCTTGCATCTGGCTCTACTCCCTGCAGCTGGCTCCACCCCCACACAGCTGGCTCCGCCCCCTGCAGCTGGCTCCGCCCCCATGTAGCTGGCTCCACCCCCTGCGAAGCTCCCTCCACCCACAGCTGCTGAGGGCCTGGAGCTCAGGTGTGATGTCTGTGCAGTGGGTGTGAGCAGGTGGGTGCTGTGACCCATTCTTCCTCTGCTTGGCCGGCCAGCCCCTCCTCACCTGCCTGTGCGCCCCGACTCCCAGAGCCCAGTGCCCAGCAGTCAGCGGGCAGTGGCTCCCTGGGTGCAGAGTGGGGAGAGGTGCCCGTGGCACTCGGTTACAGGATGTTCTGCATCCACACAGGACGGTGCAGCCACGTGGAGGGCGGCGGTGGTGGGAGACGTGGGGAGTATTTGCACCTTTGCTTTAATAGAATTGCTCCACCCACGTTTATGTAACTTACTCTCTGCAATGGCTGGGTGTCATGCCGGCGTGAAGGGCTCCTAACACTTAACAGTGGGAGCAGCTCCAGCAGCCGCTGAGTGGTGCCCTGTGCCACGGTCCCCAAGGAGGACAGGAACAGGTGCCCTGTGCCCAGGGACCCGGTGGGGTGCCCAGAGGCAGGCGGGTGGCACACGCTGCAGGGATGTGAGGGCGGGACCCACGCTTGCTCCGCTCCCTCCTTCACTCACCTGAGGAGCCTGGTCTGAGGACACTGACCTCAGCAGACCAGGCCCCGCCCCCAGAGGTCCCACCTGGGGGGGTGGGGAGGGTCAGAAAGCAGGCAGGTCCATTGAGGGCTGAGGGGCCAGGGAAGACCCAGGAAGGCTTTGCAGGGGGGACACCCCGTGACCGGAGAAATGAGTCTCTGACCTAACTTTGTGACCCGGAACCAGTGGCAAAGGTTTCCTGAACACACGGCCTGGGAAGGACTTTACCTCTGGCCCCTGCAAGCGCTCAGTAAAGGAATGTGAGTGGCAACCACAGGGAGTGGACGGCGCTGTGCCAGCCCCCTGCCATCTATGGCTTCTGGAGCATGCCAGGCTCTTTGCCAGCCCAGGGCCTGCAATGCACTTTCCCCCACTCCACACAGTGGCTCCTCCCCGTCCTATAGGTCCCAGTGCAAAGGTTCTCTCCTCCGGGGGGCCCTCCGGGATTGCCCCAGCCAACCAGGCCCTGGAGCCTGCTGTGCCTCTCAGCACTCCATCGCTGCAGCCCTCTCAGGCTCTGGAGCCCCGGGTGCTGGCTCAGGCCCATCTCTCAGGACCTGTCTGTGCCTCACCATCATCTACCAGGGTGTCATCAGACCGGTTGGGTGAGTTGGAACAAAGCAGGCTCTTCTATAGCTGCGGGCCTTCTTTCTCAGGCACATTCCTCAGCCTGGGCTCAAGCTAAACCCCTGCAGGGTCAGGCCGCCCTGGTCTGCGGCCAGGAGAGCTCAGGACAGTGCTGTGAACAGCCTCTCCCCTCCGCCGTCAGCCCTGCACTCATCACTGCCCTCAGACCTGCACCCAGCCCCGCCTCCAGCCCTGCTCCCAGCCCTGCACTCAGCCCTGCACCCAGCCATGCTCTGTGGCACTCGGAAGGAAGGTCTGGGCCGCTGAATCCAGGGGGACCGAGTGGAGTGACGCATAGGGATACTGCCCGGGCCTCCGGATTCAAACAGCGCCTTCCCACAGCCCCCTGTCCGCATGGCCGCACGTTATGTGAGTCTGGCCAGGCCCTGGTGCCCAGCTGTAAGCCAACCCAGCGAGGGGCTGCTGGGCAGGTCTGCCACAGACATGCTCACATCTGCAACCAGCTGGCTAAGGGAGGAGGGCCTCCAGCCCTGCCCTTGTGGCTCCGTGCACTGGGCGTCATCCCACACAGCAAAAGGTTGCTGGTTCGGTTCCCGGTCAGGGCACATGCCCAGGTTTCGAACTGGATCCCGGGGCGGAGGCGTGCAGGAGGCAGTTGATCAATAATTCTCTCTCATCACTGATCTCTCTCTCATCATTGATCTCTCTCTCTCTCTCTCTCCGACTCTCTCTCTCTCTTCCTTTCTGAAATAAATAATATTTTTTAACCAAAGAAAGAGAAGGGACCGCATGCTGACCTGACCAGCTCAGGGAAGGCCTGCATGGAGATCTGCAAACTCAGAGACCTCAAATGGCCACACCACAACGGATGATCTGAAACGAAGGCTTTAACTAGACGCAGTTTAAGGTGGGCAGTCCGGTCCCACGCCGGTGTCTTCACAGACAGAGATCCTCGTTGACCTTAACTGAGCCTATCTTTATTTTACTTTATTTTTTGCAACTATGATAACACACCTTGGGAATGTCAAGGTAATCTGTCACTTCCCTTCTTCCAGATCCCTCGGGGCACAACCAATGCACCAGGACCCAGACCACAAATCCCTCACTGGTGCTGCTGTTCGGCTGATGGGCACGTGTCCGTCATTTACTCTTTACCCAATCGCAGAGGTGTCGGCTCGCTCCCTCCCGCCCACGCTGCCTGTGACTCAATGTGGAAAACGGTGGAAAGCGGCCATTCTCTGGGGGTGGGGGGTGGGGGGGGGTGTCCCGATCCAGTGAGATGCTCCTGGCAACTGCTGACATTGTGGCTTCAATAAACCCACAAAATTTCTCCCCAGGTTTGAATGTTTCTTATGGTAACAGATATTTTTCTCTCTCTCTCCCTTCTTCTCTCTCTAAAAACCAATAAAAAATCTTAATAATAATAATAATAATAATAATCCTATCTAATAAAGGGGATATGCTAAATGACCATCACTCCATCACAAGGATGGCTGCACCCACAGCTGAGGCCAAGTTCCCATAAGGAGCCTTAACGAGCAATCAGCAGGGACCTGAGGCTACACCCTCCCCTGCCCCCGTGGGGTTTGACAGGGCATCTCAGGCCGTGTCCCCCACCTGGTGGGACTTGACAGGGCACCTCAAGGCATGTTCCCCCCTCTTTCCCATCTGGGCTGGGGGACCTCAGGCCGCGCCCTTAGTCCTGGTGCTGGGCCAGGGGACTTGAGGCTACGTCTCCTGCCGGGCAGGGCTTGACAAGGATGGGACTGGCCAGGTCTGGATCTAGGCCAATGGGGGCGAAGGCCGGCCGGGCCTGGGTCTCACGTGATTTTGAGGTGCATGTGGGTGGGCGAGGACTTGACTCTGGGTCCTGTGGTGAGTCCCAGACTCTGACAGGAGGGAGGTTTTCATATACATTTTACTCATTTTCTTTCATCTCTGACACTTCTATTATAGAGAAAGGGCAGATAGCAATATTAAATTATTTCCTCCAATTAATCCCCTTTTAATGTGCACAAATTTTGTGCACCGGGCCACTAGCAATAATAACAATAATAATAATAATAATAATAATAAAGAAGCCCTTCCATAATGTGGTGGTGAGCAGGGAAAGGGCCTCCTCAACCACGGAAGCCTTCGGAGCTGACACCAAGGCTTCGGGGAGAGAAAGCCATTCTGTGCTGCAGGCGAGGGGTGAACGGGAGGCATTGAAAGGGGCCCCAGTGCCAAGGTGAAGAACAAGCCCAGCGGCCCGGCCCCACGGCCACAGCTCCCCTGTGGAGAGAGTGACTACCCATCGGGCACGGCCCCTGGGGCCGGCCACACCAGCTAGAAGCCCTCCCGGCGGCTCCTGACCCCGAGCCTCTGGCCAGCGGCCCCTACACAGGAGACATTTGTACTGGGGACAACGCACAATGGACAAAGACGAGCCACAGGGCGCCCTGCCGAGAAGGCCAGGCTGCCCAGGGAGGCCAGGCGAAGGCTGCCCGGGATCGGCTCAAGGCCACGGGGTGGGCACCCCGAAGAGAGAGGGGGCGCTGGGCTCCGGCCTGCTCTGTGCACGCTGCCCTCCCAGCGCCTCCTGCCCAGGCGCCGGGGGCTGGGCCCAGAGCTCCGGCCCCGGCTGGCAGACCCTCCCTGTCCTCCCTCTGCTGCTCACAGTCCTGCCCCTCCTCTGAGGCCCAGCTCAGCGCTTCCTCCTCAGCCCGGGGTGCGGCAGCGTCCGCGGCCCCGCCACTCCCCTCCTGGCAGCCGCCCGAGCCACCGCTGGGCAGGCGGTCTGGCCGGGTCTGGCACTGGCTGGACACACAGTAGGCCTCATATGCTCCAGGCACCCACTGTGTGCTCAGCCTCGGCACAGACGGGCTTTCAGGAGTCTTCCCACCCTTCGCACCCAGGGACCTGGTCCTGCAGAGGCCCCGGGGCAGCAGGCAAGCCCGGTGCCTGGCCCACCGTCTGGCTGCGGGTCCCCTGAGGGTGCCGGTGAGGGGGGAGTTAGGCTCTGCACCGGCCCCTTTGGACCTGGCTCATAGTAGCTGCTCAGCAAAGCTAGCCCCTCCAAGCAGAGTGTTACCCAGTTCCCACGCGCGCTGCCCCCTGCGGGCCTTGGCCCAGCACGGCGGCCCTGCCGGGGCTCTGGGCCTTCCAGCACTGCGGGCCCAGCGCTCTGAGGGCTTCCCCTTAGACCAGCGGCCCCTGCAGCCCGGGCCTCCCAGGTCCCATCCCGGGATCGATTCACCCACAGCAGGGGCTCCAGTCCTCCCAGGGAGCCCTCGGGGCCGCGGGCTGACCAGGGCTGTTCTGCACCGTCTTATAGGAGGGGCTGGAGCGCCTGCGGGGGTCCCAGAACCCACCCCCTGGACACAGAGGTTACATTTTGGGGGGTCAACCGTTACCCTCGGATTCCGACTGTGCTGGGGTCGGTGCCCCCACCCTCCACCGCTGTTTGAGGGTCGTGGACCCGGGAGGCTGCGGACGGGACGGCTCCCGCTCTCCCTCCCCGGCGAGAGGCAGTGTGACGGCATCAGGTGCTGCTCTCAGCCGCTCCTGCCCGGCCACACGCAGCTCGGCCCCTGCATGGCCGCCGCGGTTGGGCAGCGAGCACTGGACAGTGGCTCCCGCCATGAGGCAGTGCGGGTGCCGGGCACCCAGCCCTCACCGTGCCCCCCTGCCCGCCCTGCCTGGCGGGGACACTGGGGCGATGAGTGTGGGAGGCCCCTCAGAGTCCCTCAGTGGACCCGCCCTGAGCCCCTCACCTCCAGTCTGGTCCGGTCCACGTCTTTGGGCAGCTTCACGCGGATTCGGTTTGTGACGATGAGGGCGTCGTAGGGATAGACCTGGGGGGGACGCAGGAGCCTCAGGCGGGACACGCACGCACACGGGGAGGAGGAGCTGGGCTGGGCGGGACGGGGTGGGGAGGAAGGTACATACTGGCGTCTGCATGGGACACCCATTTCATAGGAAAAGCACAACAAAGGGAACTTTTAACCTGGGCAGGCGCGGCCGGAAGAGGTCAGAGGTCAGAGGTCAGCGCAGGCGGCAGCCCTTACCTTGTATTCTGTAAGAGAAAGAGCAGAGGCCACGGGGCCGGTGAGAAAGCGCAGGGGCCCATCCCAGAGGTGGAAGCACCCCCCCTGCCCCCCCCGCAGTCAGCTGGGCCGTGCGGCCGTCCGGCAGCGCCAGCCCTGGGGCCATGGGCGGAGGAGGGAGCTGCCCGTCCCAGGGGGAAACCAAGAGCCGGAGGCGGGCAGGAGGCTGGAGCCAGACTGGGAGCTGGACGCGGCACTGTCTCCCCTGCCAGGTGAGCCGCTGAGAACACTGCCTGCCTCAGTTTACCCCCGTGGAGTGGGCCTTCTGGTGGACCTTTTGTTGAGGAGACTCAGGGCCTCCCGGGGCCTCAGCCCCGCCTCTAACTTCCTTCCTTCTGGACGTTCCGTGCCCCTGAGTTCCTGAGCTGGGACGCAGTGCTGGGAGGTGACCCTGGACCAGGTCTCGTTACACCGTGAGGTCGCGGGGCAGAGCCTGGTGAGCCCCAGCACCCACAGAGCAGACACTGGGACCCCGGCCACAGGCCTGCCTCAGGAGAGTCCCTGGCAGGGGCCCAGGCGAGGGGCCGGTCCCTGAATTTTTCAACGAGACACATGAGATTCCAGACATGCCAGCTGTGAGCCCGGGACCTGGAGAGCCACGTGGAGGGAGGGAGCAGCTTCGAACCCCAACCTCCACCCTGCAGCGCAGCCCAGCCCGAGAGAGTGAGCCCCCCGCCCCTCCGCACCATTGCACTCGGGTGACAGGGTGCAGGCTTAAGGCCGGCTCCCAGCAGGCAGAGCCTCTGCCAGGCACTTGCCACATGACCAGGTCCCTGCCGACCTCCGGCAGGCAGCCCGCCCCCCGAAGTGCCCAGGCGAGCGAGGGGGTGGTGGCCCAGCCCCGACCTGGGGCCTCCCCCTGTGACTGGCTCCCTGAGGCTGGGCGGCCTGTGCCCTGACACGGGACAGCGTCCCACACGGGTCCCTCTCCCCCAGGGACCAGAGACAGACAGGCCAGCGCAGGGCTGCGGGAGCACCTCGGCAACGTGAGGCCGGAGTGAACTGACCCCCGAGGAGGCGCAGAGAGCCCGGGCTCCCATGTGCCAGGCTGGGAGCCTCTGCCGGCGGCCGGGGGGGTGGGGGGGTGGGGGGGTGGTTGTAGGACAAAGTCTGTGGGGCCGTGTTAGTGCCCCTGGCCCAGCCAGAGACCGAAGGTCCCCGCTCCGTGTACCTCGTGTGCCCCAGCTGGCATCCGGGTCTGCTCCACAAGGCGCCACATTGGCGTTCTGGAAGAGAAAGAGAGAGGCAGCAGGAGGCAGGCCAGGCCTGGGGCTGGGGTGGGGCAAAGTGGGGCGGGGCAGGGCACCGAGCCTGCAGAAGCTGCAATGGGTGCCCCCCCTCCCCGGGGTGCTGCCCTCAGCCGGCAGCTCTGCTCCGGCCGCTGTGGCCTCCCGGCCTGCGCCCACCCTGCCCGTCCAGGTCCAGGCAGCTCCTGGCGACCCGCCTGTAAGGCCGCCCCGGGGCCTGGCCCTGAGCTCTGCGGCGGCACGCCTGGGGTGGCTCAGATGGAAGCAGTTCCAGGGCCCGAGCCCCCTCCAGCCCCCGCCATCCTGGGCTCAGGGGCCGGGGCCTGCACAGCCGCTGGGCAGAGCCCAGCATGTGGAGAGCACTCCTCCCCCCACCCCCATCCCCGCCGTCTCAGGTGCCGCCCTCAGCTGCCCCCGCTCTGCCATCTCACTGCCTCCTGCCCTCGAACGTCTGGGATTCTCTCCCTCCTGCCCACCCGCAGGAGCAGCCCTGCAGACCGGAAGGTTCCTCCGTGGTCACCGAGCCCGCGGGGTTCCCCACGCCCTGGCACCGCACCTCACAACTGGCTTCAAGGTCATAGGAGAGGGACCAGCCCTACCTCACAGCGGAGGGGGGGGCTCTGGAGTCAGGCCCACCGCCTGGCGAGAGGCACGGAGGCCTCAGAGGGCAGCCAGGCCGAAGCCCTTCACCCCAGGGGGGAAACTGAGGCACGCTGAACACAGGGCCAGAGCCAGTACTGTAAACATTTGACATTTGGTCCACGTGGGCTTGTCTGCTTGAATCTGAATTTCTGAAGTGGTTTGGGTTAAACGCATTGGTCTTGATTACGGAGGAGGTCGGTAAGTGCCTCGCTGGCCGACCTTCTCCAGCCTGGAGCCGCCAGAGGCTCTGCACCCCACCCGGATGGACTCCGGGACAGCGCGCGTCCCCTGAGTTGCAAGAACCGGTTTGGAGACATTTTCTCAGGACCCTGACCAGCACTCCATGTGCACCTGTCCCTTAGGGAGCCGCAGCCTGGGACAAAGCAGGGCCCAGGGCACGCCCACCAGCCACCAGCCACAGCCTCCTCCCCTCCGGGACACAGACGGGAAAGGCCGCCCTCTAGTGGCCGCTGTCCTGCATCACAGGACATCCGAGCTGGCCGCAAGGGCCACCGTGGGCAGCGGGAACCCTTCCTATGGCCACAGCCAGCTTCCTCCGCTCTCTCAGGCCCTGAGGCCAGACAGAGCCTCCCGGGAGGGCGGGCGGCGCACCGCCCGGGGCCGGAGGGGAGCGGAGGGTCAGCCGGGCTGCCAGCTGGGCCTGGGGTCTTCCAGGCCTCTCCGGTGCGAGGGAGCCTCGGGCTGCGGCCCATGTGTGCTGGCCGGAGAGCGGCGTGGCCAGGGGTGACCCCACATGGCTGCACCCGGTGGGCTCCCCGCGGCTCTCAGCAGGGGGTCACAGGAGGGAAAAGCCACAGAGCGCTGATCTCTCCCCCTCGCCTGGCGGGAGTCTGCGCCAGCTGCTCTTACAGCCACAGTCACTGATCTCCGTGGCCGTCCCCGGAGGTGGGCATAGCATTCCCATTCCGTGGACCAGGCTCAGAGAGGGCAAGCGCCTGGCCCAGGATCACACAGCACATGCACGGTGCTGCAAAAGGTTTCGCTCGTGAGTTTTACTTCTCAGGAATTGCTAATCTAAGGAGCCAAACGGCGGCCATTCACTGGGCCGGCACCTTTCCTCCCAGTCACGTGGGATCTGCCACTCCGCCCCGCGGCCACGTGAAGCAGAGAGGGCGGGAACGCGCTTTGGTAACTTCCTCGTGTGGGGACCGGGCTGCAGGGCGGGTGGGCGTTTACAGCCATGGTGTCCTCACACAGTCTGAGAGTGAGGACACATTTGGAAAGACCCAGAAGTGGACATCACTCGCCAGGCACCCCCCGCCCCCTGACAGAACACGGGGTGTCTGGTGCTGATGGCCGTGCTCTGCCCAGCTTTCCAGCCGGAAAACAGGGGCCTTCCTTAACGGGTTAAGGTGCTCTCGTGGTCGCACACGTGGATGTGGCTATACATGCTCCGTGGACATGTGAAACCTGCTTGGAAAGACAGCCACGGTTCTCACGTGCCTAGTGTGTGTATGTGTGTGTGTGTGTGTGTGGACGGGTTGCCGTCCGCATGCTTCTATTGCTCCGTGTGCTTTTTATCACTTTCACCAGATCTGATGTCACATCGCCCGCCAGGCTTGCCGCCACCGCAGCCAGTGGCCCTGCATGCTGTTGGCTGGTGGGTTTAGGCTTGTGAGTGTTTAACCTGCACAGCGAGGTTAGTACACCGTGGGCTGGGGACGGGATACCTACCCGGTGGTCCAGGCCATTCTTTCCGTGTCCGGGGAGAGGGTCAGATTTGGAATAGGGAAACCCTGCAACAGACACAGCACAGCGTCACGCACACGGCAGGCGCGGCCCCGTGGGCAGGCCAGGGTGCGGGCCGGCGGGGGGCCAGGCCCCGCCTCCGTCCTGACCTCTGTCCCCAGGGACTGAGAGAAGCCAGGGAGGGGGGCTGTAACCGGGCAAGCCCAGGGCACCGGAGACACCTCGGACCTGATCCTGCCCACGCAGGCACTGTGTCCTCTGACCACGGGGTGGGGGGATGGGGGAAAGGCTGTGCCACCTGGAGCCGGAGGACATGGAGGCCACCACCAACCACAGACCATTTTACTAAAAATAAACCCTCAATTCCTGGCAACGGGGCATTTCACGCTAAAGCCCTCATTTCTGGGGTGCTCAAAGCCTGAGGCACAGCTCTGCCTCCTGTGGGAGCCCACGGCAGGTCCACCTGAAGCCTGCACCACCGCCTGGCCACCTGGGACTCACACTGACCCGCCTTGCCGAGCCTGCAGAGCCCGCCTGGCGCAGACGTGAGCGAGGCGTGCCTCCCGGCTCCCTGGAGAGGCAGGTCCCACCCAGAAGCACCTCAGGCGGCCTGTCCCAAGCTGTCAGTCCTCCCCTAGCCTGCGGGCCCCAAGGACAGAGCCCACGTCTGCTTATCTGGGGTCTGTGCCCCCGTCCTGGCCGGCACCCAGCTGCTCAGGCCACGGTGCTCAGGGCCAAAGGCCAGCACCCGCTCCAGGAGCCGCCGGGCTGCCCACGAGGCTCAGAGGGGATGCGGGCCCCGCCCCTTGGTGTTCAGAAGGCGGGTGCCATGCAAGGGCTGGCCCACCCACCCCTCTGAGTACAGGGTGAGGGCCGGGTGCCCTTCCTCATGAGGGTTCCTGGGAACTCAGGAAGGACAGGAAAGCCCTGTACAGGCCGCATCTGGGGAACTGCCTCCGCCAGGGCCCTGCCTCGGGGACTTGCTGGCCCCCTGGCCTTCGGAAGGTTCCGGTGCAGGTCAGGAAGGCCCTTTTGCAACATCTGGGCCAGAGTTCCCAAACTCCTTCTAGCAGAGGAGCCCTCATGTCACCTGAAATCTTCGTGAGCTCTGACACACACAACAGGTGGGAGTTGGGCTGGAGGCAGAGTGGGAGAGGGGCCTGGGCTGCCCCTCCGCTGGGCTGTCCCTCCCTCCTCCTGGCCTCTTCCACAGCTGCTCCAGAAAAATGACTTGGCCGGCTCCTCCCATTTCACAGAGGGCAAATGGAGGGGCAGACGCAGAAGGACCTGTCCCAGGTCACCCAGCCCCCGGCCTGCACGGCAAGGCCTCCTTTGTCTGAGAATATCTATTTCCAGCCGTGCCTGAAGGATACTTTCAGCCAATTAGAATTCACATCCACAGCAATTGTCTGCCAGCACCCGAAAAATGTGGTGCCACTTCCTGCTCACCTCCACCGTTTCAGGCGAGAGATCGGCTGTCTGTGGAACTGGTGCTCCCCTATAGAAAATCTGTCTTATTCTGCTCTGGAGAATTTCCCCCTCTATCTTTAGCTTCCTGAAGTTTAGTTACGAAGTGTTTTTGGAGTAGGTTACGTTGGGTTTATCCTATTTGAGGTTCACCTGTTCTTGGACTTGTGGGTTTATGTGTTGTGTCAAATTTGGTCAGTTTTGAGCCATTATTTCTCTGAATACTTTCTCATGCCCACTCACCTCTTTTCTTTTGGGACTCTCATGATACAATGATTGTCCCACAGATGGAGGCTCTTTTCTCTCTGTTGTTCAGATTCTCTGATTCTCTCCTCTGTCATCATCCTCTCTATTCTGTTATTGAGCCCACCCAGAAAAACTTTCATTTTGGTTATTTTCTTTTTCAGGCCTATAACTTCCATTTGGTTATGTTTTCTATTTCTTTGGTGATATTTTCTTCTTTTTTTTCTCCCCAGTTGTTTCAAAAGTATTTGTAATTATTTGGTGAAGCATGTTGGTGATGGTTGCCTTGAAGATCCTTGTCGGGGACCTCCAACCATCCGATTCTTCTTGGTGCTGCTGCGTCTGCTGTCTTTTCTCATTCAAATAGTTATCTTCACGGTTCTCGGTGTGAAGACCAATTCTCCCTTGTTCCTGGACATCTGGGAGACTCTGGGTTCTAGCTGAGTCTCCTATTGAGCAGGCTGCCACCCTGTTTAGGTTTTCTATGTAGGGCCTGGCTTATTATGGGCTGTGGTTCTGATGACAATTTAGTCTTCGGAATGCTTGTCCAAGTGCTCTCCTGGGCCCACCTGGTGTGGGAGTGAGCTGTACTTCCCGGGATGCTCTGTGCCCCGAGGTGGGGTTGGAGACAGTGGCAGTGGATGGTGCGTGTTCCCCTGGGCCCACGCTCCAGGCGGATTGGTGGATGTGGCTGGTGGAGGGAAACACCCACCTGGTCACCATATGCCACTGCGTGGGCCAGGACCCATGGAGTCCTGTGTTTCTCAGTCCCCGAGCCAGTCCACCTTCCCCGTCCCCCCTGCAGAGCTCTGTGGCTGTCTGCTGCATTGTTTCTGGATTTTCCCATTGCACTTCGTGGGGGAGAGGCAGGAGAGAGGAGTCTCCCCTGTCACCCCCCGAGGCTGCCCTCTGCACCC